CGTGCTGTCAGGCTCACGTGTACAAAGAGCTCTTCTTGCGCGTCCCACTCAAAACATCCTCGGTGCACGTGACAGGAGGTTGAGTGGTCACACACACAAGACAAGACTTTTGACTCATCATCAAGACATCAAGACGCGCATGATCAGACTCTTGACTCGGTCAGGTTCGTTCGGCTCAAGACCATGCCACGGAAAGGAGGCGAGCATATCGAAAGCGAAGCACCATGCCTCTCGAGGCATCCTTGGCAGAAGGTTATGAGCAGTAGTAGAGAGTATAATCTTGAGTAGGAGTAGGCGTGTTGCGCCAGAGCGCCCCTCATAGAACGGCATGCAGCTATAGCTGCTGCCTGAGCCGCTGCCTGTAGTCAGAGGCACGAGTACAAGCGGCGCCAGGGCAGCACGCCCTTGGTTTTGTCCACATCCCAGTACGGCCAATGTGTTGCCCGCTCCATTCTGATATCCTGCCCATCTTCAAGTCTCGAGATTGGGCAGAGACTCGCTAAGCTTGCCGAAGCTGAAATATCTCCGATACCGCCACACCGAAGATAATGATAGCGCGATGAGTCTGCAATTCAAGATCCAATCAACAACTGAATGTGAATCCAGATCACGACGAGCGCCATCAGCAGCAGGTAGGATCGAGCACCGAGCACCGCAGAGATGCAACACGTCATCCCAAACCACCAGACGACTCACGCAACACGCGCGCGCGCACGCTTGAATCTCAGAAATGCAGCCACTTCTTTGACTCAAATCAGACTCTGCGGCCTGGAGAGAGCTAGCTGCGCTGCGCGGCGTGGATTGACATGTTGCGTAAATGGGTGGTAGTGGCCTGTTGCTGTCGCTTCTACCCCGTCCTCCAGCATCTCACAATGCGCTTCACAACTCATGACCATATACAGCTTTGCACCACAACAAGTGTGCGTAATCGATGGGGGGGGCGTCGCACAGCTGGCGCGCCTGCTGCTCTGCCAGAGAACAGAGAGACCTTGCCATGACCTCGCGAGGATCCATGCCAAATCCTGGCCGGCAGCGCTTGGCGGCAGGCCGTAGCATTCGCATAAATTTGTTCTCGTACTTGGACCACCGAACATCTTTTGCATATCTTGGCTTGCACGGCGGCAGGCGATGGTGTCGATTGAGGTTGGCACTGCATGCTCACATGGTGCTCAACCTGCTGTTGTGGGTGACCTCGAGTCGGGACGCTCCCAGCGCCCGCGATCACAAGTCACGAGCAGATACATGGCTCCAGCAGCCGTTCAGCTTTTCCCCGCGCTGGACTAGCGGAGCGCTGGAGAAAGCGCTTCAAAGTGGCT